ACCTTTAAAAAAGTATAAAAACATACTCAACCATATATATATATACTTCTAATTAAGATATTTAATATAATTAAAATGCAATCTAAGTTCGCTTAAATGAATAAACTTAGGACAATTTAAAAGATACAATCTAATTGTTAGTGAAGACATAATCATATATTACTTAAATGAACCTCTCAAGAAATAATAATGATAAAGAAAAAATACTTACAGTATGCTCTTAAACCTAGTCATCAATAAATGTTGGTATTTTATCTTTGTTTTTTGGATGGTGTATTTTTGTTGTGTGATGATCATATTAATGAATGATGGATCCCAATGGTTAGGATTTTTTCTTTTTGCCATATCACATATTGAAATATTTTGTTAATTCACATAAACATTATAATTAACATTAAGAATATTATATAAATTATGATATGAAATGTAAAACATAAAGGTAACAATTTTTTACCAAATTTTGTACAAAATCATTGTAATCGATAAATCCACTTGTGTGGATTACCCTAGGGCCCTTAACCTGATTCAACTTTGCTTGCTCTATGCGCACATTAAACTAAGGGTTCTTTGTCCATATATACTTTAACTTATCCCAAACCTTATCAAACATGGATGACTTTTTTTTTTTTTTTTTTTTTTTTTTTGTAAAATTCTTCTTTCTACATGAGGTATGGATATCAGTTATTATACAATTATATCGTTGTTCACGAACTTTAAAAAATGCTTTGGATACAACATCCCTTTCAGTAGTGTCCCATTCGTTTCTATTCTAAATATATATATATATATATCATGTATTCATATATTAATTATTTCATAGAAAAAAATGCACATATAGAAATAAATACATGACATTATGAATTATTCAATAAAACTACAAATATGAAAAGCTTGCTATACACTTCCTTATGCTCAAAAGAAATTAAGTCCTGTGTATGCATTACGCATATTCGACTTGAGGACAATTAAAATATTCTTTCAAACTTTGGGAAGTAATGTCTTTCCATCTCGGTTCACAAGAGTCAACTTCTTAGAAGGATTTTTTTAGCATTTTTTGACCTTTTCCAACACTTCACCCCTTTTGGGGTTGGCGAAGCAAAGTTGTACTAGATTCATTGTTATTGTCATTAGCATGTGTCTCCCTATAGGCCTCCTTGACAATGGTACTCGATGATGTAATTGCTTGTGATTGATTTTTCCTTATATGCCTTTGGGGAGCAACATTAGCAGTCTTGTCACCCCTATAAGCTTTAGATAAGAAATTCACTATAAAAAACTAATACTACATTATTATATGATTGAAAAAAAAAGCATTAGATTTAGACTTAAAAAAAAATTAAATCTAACATGAAATTTAGAGACAATATTTACACATATACTAAACATCACATTATGTTCTTTTTTATATCAATACATGTACATATCACCCATTATATCAGAAAATAGCACATACATACACACATATAAATAATAATGGAAATTATAATTTAGCTACTTGTGGTTTAAGGTTGGTGCATAGAACAACTCGAGATTTTAAAATGTGCATGTAACATACTTATGATTTGAGATAAGTGCACATAAAAACCTGTGACTTCAAGATGTACAAATAAGGATCTAAGGTTTGTATTTGGCGAATATAACCACTTGAAACTACATAGAATTGTCTTAAATACCCTTATTTTTCATTTCTTTTAAGTTAGGGGCTTTAAATGAATTTCAAGTGATTATTTGCACCAAGTGGAGACCTTAGGTGTTTATGTGCACATTTTGATATTTTCGATTTTTATTTGCACATATTGAAAACCACAAGTATGTTATGTGTACATTTTAAAACCTCAAGTCTTTATGTGCACTTACCTTAAACTACAAGTAGCTAAATCGTAATTTCCCCTAAATAATAATAAAGTTTATATATGTTATTAATTAATTAAGCACTACTAGCATTCTATGAAATGTATTCAATATTTTCTTCCTTATATGTATAATAATCTTTAAATTCTTCACCCTTTTCCTCTGTCTCAATTTCTCTATCATCAACCACATCCTTAACTTCTACCTTAATGTCAGTTATAGTCCCATCAATATGCTAAATAAGTTCATGTAATTTGAGGTTTAAATGGGTTGGTTGGGGAGTTGGAGGGGCATCATGAAAAATGGGTTCTAGATCATCATGTTGTTCCTCTTGCTCATTTGACATTTCAATAATACTACTTGCCCTACATTTCCATATGGTAATCTATGCCTTCCTAATAGAACTATGTGATGGATATGGAGTGTAATTCGACCTGTTTAGCTTGATTGGCCAAGATAAAAAGTTCTAAGTTTCTATTTGGATTAAGATCAAATGGTCAACCACAATTCCTGATGTAGGAGAAATTTTGTACCGATTGCATTTAAATAGAACAAACATCTGTTGATGTTTGGATCAAACATATTAAAGCTCAATCACTTCCTACAACAACCCATAAAAATCCAAATATAATTCTGCTCCTATGGATCCCATGATAAAAACATTGTTATTCCTCATTTTTTTTTTACTTTTTCCATATAAGGCAATGTGAAATCGAAAACCGTTTATCTAAAAGATTTTGTAACATAAAATTATCCAAGAAGTGCCACAAGCTAAACTGATCAAAATATTCATCAAAGCCTTCAAACTCATCGTGTAAAATTTATATCACATGAATTATTATTTATTACTTATAAGTTTCTGATAATTAATTAATAGTAATTAAAGATTAGGATTTAACTTATCGATTTTTCAAATCATGACACAAGATAATTGGAACTGTTCATTTGTATTTGTTCAGGAGTCACGTTTTGACCTTCTTCCTCTTTGAAAACCCTAATCAACCATCTATTGTAATTATGTGTAAATTCAAACAGCTCATTCATTTTCCAAATGTAGTTAAGTATAAGGTTTGAGGAATGCAATCACTCAATCCATCCTTTCAGTTCCTCACAATTCATTAAAACATAATACATTACAGCATTATGTTGGCTCAATGCACTCCAAGAGGGAGGTGAATTGGAGTATTAAAAATTTCTTCCTCTTTGCAACCACAAAGCAAAAAATCAAAGAGAATAGGGAATAAATGCTTGCACAATAATTTTATAGAGGTTTGGTCCAATCACTTGGAGCCTAGTCCTTTACCTCGGCTTCACTCACCAAGGATTTCCTTTACACTCTCCACTAAAAAGAACAATGGTGGTTTAAAGGAACCACTCAATCCTTTTACAAGAAGATAGGTTTTTCTCTCAAATCTCACCCTTTTACAAGACAAATCCAAGAATCCTCACTACAAATCACTCTTGAAGGAATAATCACACCCTCAAGATAACTCTCAAATAGAGCAAGTAAAGGATTACAAGTAAAGATCACTCAAAAATCAAAATCTCAAGTTAAAGCACAAGTTTGTAGATAAAGGATATGCAATGTACATGCCTAAAACTTGTTTCAGATCTTCTACCTATCATATTTATATCCCCCTTGGCCAAAAATAGCCATTTTTAGCTGTTAGAGTTCACTTAATGCTTTACAGATCAATTTAAGTTTGAGAAAAGGTGTTGTAGATTTTGTTAGTAGAGCCAACTCTAACTTTAGAGCCAACTTTTCAAAGCTAGCTATCGTATCCAAAGCCAGCTTTATTGCTTCTCTTGCACATTCTATTTTTTTGAAGAACTAGTTGCAAAACACAAAGCCGGCTTAAGAAATCTAACTTCAAAATATTAAAAAATCTTTGAAAAACTTGATTGTTGAGCATTAAATGCGCCATCACAGTCGACTTCAAAGTCATAGATGGCTTTGAGTCCATTTTTTACATGCGCCAAATTGTAGGGTTCAAATATTTCACCTGCAAAGCTAGCTATAGCATTTCATGCCGACTTTTTGCATTTTTCTTCACCAAAGCTGACTACAGAATTGTAGTGCCAACTCTCTACACTAATTTCAGCATTGTTGGTCTATTTTTTGTGCAATCCAAGTTTATTTACTTTTGACATATTTTAAGTGATAAACTACATACTTAGATGAACAAATTAGTCATTTAAATGTGTTTTGTAATCATCAAAAGCATAGGTACAACACATTACACTCCTTCGTTGTCAACAGTCATTGTTGTGAAGAACCAATTGGTTTTCAAGTTTATTGAATATTAAAGGCCAATATTGATAGAAAGGGCTAATCCAACAAGATCTTAGAGATGCGATCACCTCTTGTCTTAACTTCTCCTTCAAAATAAAGCAAGATAAAGTATTAGATCTCATTCATTATATATTCCTCACATATTTATCCTTCTGGATGTGTTTTATTTTTTATTGAACCCTTCAATCTATGCAT